CCAGAGGACAACATAACTGCAGTTTTGAACACTTCTGAATCTACCCACTGAGCAGACACAGGCATGTGCATGTGTGTGTTTCCTGCCCGTGCTTTTTACCCTCTCTTTCTCTCTCTCTTCCAGCTCTTTGGCTTCATCAACTTTATCCTGTGGGCTGGAAATTGCTGGTTTGTGTTTAAAGAGACCACATGGCATGCGCAAGCCACCAGCAAGGAGAGCTCTGCAGAAGAAGGAGCCATCGACAAGCAATGAAGTACCTCCTCTCCCACCCACCCTGGTCCCAAGGCGTCCCCACCCCGAATGGACAGCACCTTGTCTCACACACACAAACACATGCCCATCCCACTGCTGAGCCTCAACGGGAGTTGCATCCTCTGCGATCCTTGTTGAGGCCCATGGTCATGCCAGCATCCCTCTTGGGCATTATGAGATGCCTGCCTTTAAGTGGCTGGCAGGCAGAAGCCCTGTCATAGTCCCAGGTATACTTAACTTGTAGCAGACTCCTAGTGGCTACCACAAAACTTGTGTTTTCTTTAGCAGGGTTTTTCTTTCTTGCTCTATAAACATCATTTCCTTTTTCCTGTGTTCCTGGCTTCCCTCCCCAGAGCATGAGGTCGCGTGGAACTTCTGCCCACAGCTGGTATGACAAGCCAATTCGGCTTTTAGAAGCCGTGGCAGGTCACTTGCTAGTGAAAGCAAAGGGGTTGAAGAGACCTAAGTCAGGGAGACTGCAGGAGCCCAGTCATCTTGGCACCTCCTTGTGCAAAAGCACCCCCGGTGCAGAGGCAGTCTTGTCCCTGCCTCCGTGCTCCCCTAGGACCAAGGCAGAGGGAGTAAAGGTGCAGGTGGGGAAGAGGGAGAATATGCTGTTAGGGGGGGCGGGTATGTATCTCTTCCTCCCTTTTGCCTGAAGCCTTCTTATCTCCTCAGGGAAGCTGATGGAGGGTTTTCAGCTGCTTTTCTGCTCCTGTGTGGCTCAGAGGGAGCTCATTATTTAGGCCAGTTAAATCAGTGTGCCAGCAGCTTAATGCCTGTGACATCCTTTGCCAGTGGGACATCATCTCGCCTATGCAGGGCAGGGACCTACATAGTATTTTCCATTCTCAAGCAAGGGGGAGTCTTTTTCTTAGGCAGGTGCCCAGCTCGTTCCTCTTCCAAAGTGGCCTCTGCAGAAGGAACTGATATTGCTTCCCACCCGGAGCCACATGTCCATTAAAGGCTGCCTCTTCCCCATGTCTGAGGAATATCCCTGGGCCTCCTACCCCTCTTTATCAGCCCTCCAAGGAGTTGGAAATTTCAGGTCCCAGTGGGGCTTGCAGCAGGACATGGACACTGTCTGATGCCCTAAGCCACAGAGCCTTGCATGACTTCTGGGATACATTTCTGTAGTTTGTTGATCTAAACTGATGACACTTTGCTCCAAGGAGAAAAAATCTTGGCAAGGCAGTAACAGTCTCGTTAGGTTTCACATGGGCACCAGCAAGATGGGAGTGTGTTCAAGGAGAAAGTTTAGAGCCCTGGACAGATGTAACATTTCCACAGAGGTCACTGACATGACACTTGTGTGAAAAAGTTGTGGATGAATGATGCCTAGGCTGGGGTAACTGCCTGATCTGCTGCAGAATTAGCCCTGAAAGAATCAGGGGTAAAACTTCACCCGTGTAGGCTACCCCAGTTTAGGTGTCCTTTAGCCAGGTCCATCCTGGGGTAGTCAGTCATTTCCTGAAGGCAAATAGGCTGTTATTGCTAATTTGGCACCTAGTGTGATGGTGCCAGAATAGCTTCCTACTATGTGAGCTACCCCAGGATAGCTCCACATCTGTCCATTCCAGGGCCTGGTGTAGTTTACATCAGTATATAAAATCAATGTGAATTACACTGGAGTATTCATCTGCCCACGCCCAAGGCCATTAGCATTTTCCTTGTCTAGCTGCATGATAACAGACTGCTTAAATCAGTGGCATTTTCCCACCTGCATCCTGTGATCTGGAGCTCCGTGGCAGCTTGATGGGTCACCAAACCCAGGAACAAGACTATTGCTAGTCTTTCCAGCCAATGCAGCATAGGCAGCTGGCCCTGGAGCCCATTGGCACTGTGAGGCCTGATCTCTTCTGGCAGGGTTCTGCCCAGAGCTTTTGGGCAGAAGGGAAGGTAGGCACTGGCAGCACAGATCCCAAAGACAAGGCATATTTAGCACTACATTAATCTTTCTTTTCTGTTGTGCTGTTTCCTTAACAACTGCTGTAGTTTTCATTGGCTTGTACGCCTCTTCCACGGGTGGGAATAGGATGGGGTAGAGGAGGATGGGACTAACAACAGGGCTCCTCGGTCTTATGTTTTTTTTCTTACATATCCATACTCCTCACCCAATCTTCCCAAACAAAGCAGCCCTCTGCTGGACATCCGATCAGGGGTTCTGATGGCTTCTCTTCCTGCCTCTTGCTCATTGTCCTAGACTGTCTGAAATCCATGTAAAGCAGCTTTTTTAGTGCCTTAAAACCTTTACTCCTTGAGAACCTTGAGGCACTGCTGTGTATAGTGGGAGCCGTGTACCTCCCCTTCAGGGCACTGCAATGCATGATGAGGGGTATATACTTTCCCTTCAGGCAGGGGCCCAGTAATTCAGATCCCACTCCAAATCTTCTGCCTTAGGTCTTTTTAGTCTTACTCCCTTTTCTTCCCCCCCCCGCGACATGCTGGGGAGGGGGCTCCCCTTTGCTGAAGGAGACACTGATGTTAATGGTGCTTTGTTAGCTGTGGGACCTTCTGTTCAGCAAAGACCCCATTTCTACATATGTTGTAAGTTCCCCTTCCTCTTCCTCCTGGAATGATTTCCAGGGGCCCCCACCCTCCCTCCACTGCAACCGTCTTACAGAGTCATCTGGCAGCAACAGAGCTGCAGAGGATCGGATACCACTGTTTAACAGGAGCCCCTTCTCTGCAGCACAGTGTAGTGACCCTGTTGTGTGCTTCTCAGTCTGTTGCCTTGAAAAGCCCCAGGAAACAAGGGAACCCAATGGTCTACGGCCCGTGGTGTTTCTCCGGCCCAACGGCTAGGTGGGAAACCTCTTAGTTCTTCATGGTGTTTGCAGTTCCTGGGCATAAGTCAAATGTTAGCTGCCAGGAGGCAGGAAGACACTTCCCCTCTGGTCAAGCTGTCCCATAATTGTCCCGTGTAGGGTTCCTTGCATCTTCCTTTGAAGCAGCTGATACTGGAGACAAGGGTCCAGACCAGACAGACAATCAGTCTAATCTGGAAGGGCAGTTGCTAGCTGCTGTAGCTGAAACCCTCCACGCTTCCATACCACAACAACTGAACAACCGAAGCTCCACCAACACAAATGATTCCTGCTTTGCCTTTGTCCCTTTTTGCTAATTTTGGATGATAGCTGAGGGCAGTCCTCAGCTGGTATAAGTCACCGTGGCTGCACGGAGGTCAGCAAGTAATGGTGACTGACACCAGCTGAAGAGCAGGCCTCTTTGAGCATGAGTCACAGCAGGGAACTATGCTGCTCTGTATCTTGCAGGAGCCCAGGGTTTGTGTGAGCTGGCTCCTGTCCATGCCAAGGAGGGAGGGATGAATCTCTCTGTCTTTATTTTTCTTATCACTGATTAGTAATAACGGCTCCAGGTACAGGAGAAAAAGAGAAAGTATTTCTCTGTATTTTTAACCCCAGCCCTCATGCAGAAGCAGGGTCTGTGAATGACGTATACTGTGAGTTTTGTTTTGTTCCGTGTCTGTATTTATTTATTTGAAATGGGAAATATAAAGTATTATATATTTTTCTGCTTAGTGGCGCTAAGATTGGCACCGCCCTCTCTGCCCAGTGCTGGATGCGGGGACTGGAACTGTTGAGTAGTATTTGTTTTACCCTCTGAAAATTAACAGAGCCCATAGGCAGCCGTAGCATTAGGGGTGCCAGACTCAACCCAGCCCGCAGTCCTGCATTAATGATTCCCACTGAGCTTGCCTTGCAGAATCTGGGCCTGCTCTTCAATGCTGCTCATGATACAGCCCTGTCCTGGGACAGAGATCTGTGTCAGGCTAACCTCCAGCAGATGTGGGGACCACTGGGACAGGTCACTTGGAAGAGGGGGAGGAACCAATCTTACCTAGCGCCAGCTTTGCATTCTCCTGTAGACCAGGGGTGTCAAACTTGACCAGCCCCCTGGGCTGGACCCGGACTCGGACCCCGGGGCTCCTCATGGGCTGGATCTGGGCCTGGTGGTAGGGTGAGTGGTGAGGGCACAGGGGTTGTTAACATAACCATTGTTCTTCTGCCCGTTGTAACTTCTGTCACTGACACATGTCACCACCAGGACTCGGTACACACAAATTCAGCAATGGGCTAAGGTGGGGGGACCAGGTTATAAACCCTGGGCACCAAGTTGTGGGGAGGGCACAAAAACAGCAGCCACTGATACTTCCCCGTGTACCCCCACCACACAGAGTATAGAGGTGCCCAGGTGTGTCGGTGGCAGTGGACCCTGGCCCAAATTTCCAGCCTTCTTAGGAGCCCCGCAGGTCGGGTCAGATGCAGCCTTATCTTTGACACCCCTGCTGTAGACTGTTAAAAGCCTCTGCTGAATTTCTTCTTTGGGGATAGTGAGGGTGTCAGGCTTGGCAGGAGTGAGTAGCCTTGAATGCGTGTGAATCTGGGGAAGGGGGAGGAACATGTTCACCAAAGGAATCACTCTCTAACCCTCTTGGCTACTGCTAAAGCCAGCAATTGCACTAGGAGTGGCTGGGAGGGGCAGCACCTCAGGAATTAGCTCTCCTCTGGGGAGTGAATGCTCCAGGCCCTTGCACTGACTATCTGTTCTCTGGCGAGCCCGACCTCCCTCCCAGGCCTGGCCCCTCTTTGCGAGATTATGTTGCATGTTTTTCTGGTGCTTGTTATTATGGCTTCAAATAAAAAAAGGCATCATGAGGGTTTGCTATGAAGGAACACTGGCTCTGGTTTCTTTACACTTCTCACTCATTTCCAGCGCAGCCTCTCTCACTTTGCTGTAATAAAAAGTCTACTTCTCAGGGTCTTATATGAGTTGAGCACATTTGCAAAGAAAGGATCACATCCCTACCCCAGTCCCCAGGGGCTACTTTATGCAGAGGATAGCAAGCTGATGCTACTACCATCTAACAGAAGCACTCCTTTGCTGTGCTGCTGGAGCCAAGGTCCTGAGTTCTAATTCACATGAGGGGGAGGAAGCGATAGCACAAGCAAGCTGTTGCCTGAGGCTAGTAAAACTTTCTCTCCATTTCTGTTTGAGAGCAGATTCAGACCTGAGTACACCCAGCAGCTTGGGAGATGCAGACACTGGGATGGGGGCATTTATACATGTGCTCTGGGAGGGGATGGGGAAGGGGAGCACTTTAATTAGAGCGCTGGCCCTGGCGGCCAGGAGCTGGGCAGAGCCCAGAACCCACTCCTAAGGGCAGGCACCTCAGGGCATTCTCTGAAAGAAGAGTTTGCTCTTTATAAAACATAGCAGGTGGTGGCGGTGGTGTATAAAAGGTGGGTGTCACCACCCTCTGGGCTTTCCAATGAAACATGGCTATTGCTGCTGTGCTGAACCCAGTGCTGTTGGGGTGCACTTTGTGTGCTCTAAAAATGCCAGTCAAATTAGGACCCTTGGGGCTTAGGACTCAGTTGCCCTAGATTTGGGATCCAAATGGGTCTTTGGCAAGTATTAGGCATCTGAATGCTCAGACAGGCAGTTCTGGACCTGCACAAAAGGCAGAACACTATTGCCTAGGGAGCATCAAAAAGAGATAATAAGGGAATGGTTGTTGAGTATGTGGGGGGAGAGGGTTTAGATCGTATTTTTTTAATCAGCACCTGTAGTCTGCCTAGTCCTGTTTCAGACACCCACATCCTTGTTTTGGGCCTGGCCCATCTCTAGGATGTGGGGAGCACCGTGGAAAAAAAGGACTTGCAGTTCCCCTGGGAGTTTAAGAGCGACATGCACCATGGCTGTCTCAAGGATGATCATCCCAAACTAGGATCACAGATGACACACACATCCCATTGTCAGCCCCGGTGCTGTCTGTAGGAGCTAGGCCTGCTCAAGCTTTGGCCTCGTGTGTGTGCATGCAGGTGTTGTGAGGTCTCGGTAGCCACCCTGGACCCACTTTAAGGGTGCTTTTAATGGACCCATCTCTTGGCTGCAGGCCAACTGAGCGGCACATATTCCAGCGTGACACACCACACCTCCCTCGTGGAAGCTGGCGTTTCACAGGCACCACGTCCCATTGCAACCCTCACCCTGGTGCACAGACAAAACAAGCTTTGGCAGCCACCCACCCAGACACAAAATCAGCGACATGGATCACGAAGCTTTAATGATGCAAGAGGGTCTCGTTACTGCTAGGACAGGATCCCAGTCTCTCTGCACAGCTCGTGCTGCTTTTGTTTAACCCCAGGGCTCCCCTGGCTGCAGCGGGGCATTCAAAGTGGTCCTCTCTTCCCCCTCAGCCTTGAGGTTTCACTTCCCAGGAGCAGCATCCCTAGCTGCTGACTCCACTCCAGCCCAACGCTGCACGGACACGGCTCGACCCCAAGCTGGCCGCAGCCCAACGCTGGCCAGTGGCATCCAACACGAGAGGTGGACAGGACAGGAAGGGGCAGCGCTAGGATCTCGCCAGGGTCAATTTGCAGTCCCGGCCAGCGACTAGGACGCCAGCTTCCCCTTGCCGCACTCGTCCCTGGACCCCAGTGGCTCCCCATCTCCGGATCCCATGTAGGGAGGGATGTGTTAACGGTGGGACAGTGCCCTTGTGTGCCCCTCTCATGCCACGCGTCCTCACACCCTTCGCAGGGGCTCCCCAAACAGCTGCTGTGCGGGCAGAGGCGGCTGCGACGGGGAAGCCCCCGAGGGGGGTCCCGTGCTGCACGTGCGCCGGACACCCGCGGGCTCTGGGAGCCGG